GATTACTTTCTAACCTGAAGCCCATGTCCTAGGACTAATTGTAACTAACACACCTACCATTCACAAGTCATTTGCAGCCATATCCCACCCCAGGACGCTTACAACTTACTACCAATAGATTTTCTGTAACTTCCTCTGCACCTCAGTTATACAGGTGAAAATGCCCAGAGACAGAACTCAGCGAGCAGGCGCACCTGCAGGGTTGACGACACCAAGCAGCTCTCCCGAGGCAGATGTGTCCATTAGAAATGCAGCACCAACACTGCACCATTATCAAGACAACACTGCCACATGGACTGCCACTCACATTCCTGCATCCACCCTTCCAAAGAACTTCCAGCACTTCACTCAAGGCATGGGTAAATGCACAACCTAATTTTCCCATGCCGATTCCCTCCATCTGCATTAAAACCACCTCAGAAAACAGATAACGCAAATATACACGCCCTCTGCGGCCCTTCTAGTTTACCTGGGAAAAGTAAACTGTTCCTAGCACGTCCTCACATCCAACATCAAGAGGGAGGCCTTGGTCTTGCATCTCAGAGGTTACAAGGGGTTGTAATACCCCATAACTGTCTCTCAACAGCTGAGCCTGGAGCCTTTTTCTCTACCTCAGTCCCAAAGCTAAGCTGCTCTGCAAATCAACCTGTCAGAGCAGAGCCAAGCACAGCTCAGGTCCCAGGTCAGACTCAGACCCCCGCAGTCTCATGAGACTATAGCAGTGTTCCAGACAGGACCATAAAGGATACTGAACACCCACTGTACAAAATGAAGGCCTCCCTCTTCTCCAGTCTCAGGTGTCATACCTTCTGAGTGCAAATGCCCCATCTCAATCAACCAAGGAGCATTCACCTTTCCTCCTACAAATGCCCACTGCAGTGCCCTGGCCTCCCGGGAGCCAGGTGCTCTCCTAACCACGGCAAAGCCGGGTCCAACTCACTTGTTGCACATCAGCAGCACTTCCAGCTCCTTGACGTTGTGGACCAGAAACTTCCGGAAGCCGCTAGGAAGCATGTGCTTGGTTTTCTTGTTGCTCCCATAACCAATGTTGGGCATCAAGATCTGGCCCTTGAATCTTCTCCGAACCCTGTTGTCAATGCCTCTGGGTTTCCGCCAGTTTCGCTAAAGACACACAGGCAAGTTAGTCTCTGTGTAAACTGCCAGCTCTTCCTTGACAAAAAGGAGGCAGAATTCAAGGGGTCGTGTCATGTAGGAGGTGCTCTTGAGTAATGTTACTTCCTACTTCTTTTATGTGCTTTATTACAGAAAAAAAGCTCCTGAAACTGTGGTTCACTGTAGAATCCCCCAACAAAACAAAACCTTCCTACCTGACCACATGGGTCGGGATTATAGGGAACTGTACACAGAACAGTGTGTCTGCACTGTTCTTAGTAACCAAGATTTCTGCCCCATAAAAAACATACACCAGTTCAGTTGGCAGAACGTTTGCCTGGCATGCACAAGGCCCCGGGCTCCGTCCATAGCACCTGGACTGGAATTTCAACACTATCTTCCAATGCAATTAAGTTTCAAAAGAAGGGGCAGGGAGGAGGGACCAGTTAGCTTAGTCGAGAGCACCTGCTCTTCCAGAGGTCCTAAGTTAAATTCCAGGCATGCATGTGCCTGGTGTGCAGGCACACTTGCAGACAAAAACCAACGATCTTTAAAATACAGGGTAAGGCGGCAGAGCTGGCTTGGCTTAAAGTGCATGCTGCCAGACACCTAAGTCTGATCATCTGTACCGACATGACAGGAAAGAGAGAAATCAACTCCTTCAAGTCCCCTGCCCTTCACACATATAAATATAAAATAGAAAGTGTCATTCTAAAAAAGAACTTTAGACAACCGACCGCAGACTATATACCAGAAATGGGTGTTCAGACCTTAACCCCAGCACTCACGTACCTTAATTTTCACATATCGGTCTGACTGGTGCCTGATGAACTTCTTGGTCCTCTTTTTGACGATCTTGGGCTTCACCAGAGGCCGGAGGGCAGCCATGATGCCTTTTACAAAAGTCAGACACACGTTAGTAAAGAAACTGGGAGGTGGGACTGCGAGTCTCAGGCTTTGGATGATGTTGCAGAGTGTCTTCCAATCACCAGCTACGGAGCAAACTGGGAATGGAATGGGTACCTCTGCTAGACTTGCTCTCCCTCCTGCTTCCGAAGCTGGTAGAATACTAGTCACTCTCCAGACGCGATCCCAAGAGGTCAGTGGGTCATCTCACCCACTCTGAACCTCAAAGAACGGCAACTGACCTGAACCAGGCCTTTCTAGCGGAGAAGCAGCAAATCCCACTCCACTAATCGTCGTTATTTTTGAAGTGTTGCGCCCTTAAACACGCAAAGCCACTATGGACTTCTAACACGCCACCAGACTGCCTGTCCCTCCCGGATCGTCTCAGAGCACCAACCAAACGGTGTCTTCTCTGTTCCCTCCATTGACAACCTGCTTTGCCGGGCGTACCCAGCGGACTCGTGTTCAGAAAGCATTTTTGCTCACCGGCGAGCGGCGGCAGCTTCCTGACTCAGGATGTCGTACCCCCCCACAAAAGGGCTGCCAATAAGCTAACTAGAAAGCGGCGGGTGCCGTCCGAAACCCACGGGCCGCATGGCAGCACACTCGCCCTGGCCGATGCCGGGTCCCTAGCGGACTCCGTAGCACCAGTGGCCAGGCCCTTGCGCGCTCGCCACTACAACGCCAGGGCGGAGGCCGACTCCGAGGCCTCCCCACCCGGCGATTGAGTCTCACCGAACCCGCAGGCGGCGGATGGCCGCCGATGCAGACTCACCGCAAAAGAGATGGCAGCCACCTCGCAGGCAGCGCCGAGGAAGAAGGAAGAGGCGGCGGCGCGCAAGGTATGATGGGACGGAGTCTTAGGTCCTGGCTGAGAAAAGGGAAGCACTTCCGGCTCTGGATCCTCTAAAGAAAACTAAGACGTGCCTGAGAAATATGCTGAAAAAATTCCTAGTGTTCTGTAGTATCCATTAACATCTTCGAATGAACAAAAAAGTATTTTTCTCTTGGGACTACTTAAGAAATTTGGAATTGTTTTTGAGCTAAGACCTGCTAGGTGGGCATTTATTTCCGCCCGAAGTGGAGGCCCAATCGGTTTTTAAACTGTTCGTTCCCGAGTGCGCCTCCTTGTGGCTAGGAGGTAGCAAAACAGAGACTTCTTTGAAAAGTCCTTACGGGCTTGGTTGAGCAAATGTCCTAAAATTTCATAATATACAGATGCGCAAACCCGTTTTATGAAGTGCTACCGAGCTTTCTCGCATCTTCTGTATGTTTAAATCTTCTCTACGTATGATAGAGAATAGAGCAATGTATTAATAAGTGATAGGTTGATAATATTGGTAAGAAAATAGTCCATTGACTGGACATGGTGGTACACGACTTTGTTTGTTTGTTTGTTTGTTTGTTTGTTTTTCGAGACAGGGTTTCTCTGTGTAGCCCTGGCTGTCCTGAAACTCACTCTGTAGACCAGGCTGGCCTCGAACTCAGAAATCCGCCTGCCTCGGTACACGACTTTTAAACACAGCACTTGGAAAGCAGAGGCAGGCCGAGCTTAGTCTATTTTGCTTTCCTTTTGTTTTTCAGATCATTGTGAAAACACCAATTTTAGGAGGAAATAAAACCAAACCAGAGCTGGAGAGGTGGCTTGGTGGAGCAGTGTTGCTCTTTCAGAGGACCGGCATTTGGTTCCCAGCAACCACTTGCTGCCTCACAACCTTATAACGCCAGACCGAGGGGAGCAGATGCGCTTTTCTGTAGGCACTACATGCATGTGGTACATACTCATACGTGCAGGTACATAGAATAAATCGTTTTTTGTTTGAAGAGTTATGTATATTAAGCTGTCTTCAGACACACCAGAAGAGGGCATCAGATCCCATTACAGACCAGGCAGTGGTGGCACACGCCTTTAATCCCAGAACTTGGGAGGCAGAGACAGGCGGATTTCTGAGTTCGAGGCCAGCCTGGTCTACAGAGTTAGTTCCAGGACAGCCAGGGCTATACAGAGAAACCCTGTCTCGAAAAACCAAACCAAACCAAACCAAGACAAAAACCAGATCCCATTACAGATGGTTGTGAGCCACCATATGGTTAGGAATTGAACTTAGGACCTCTGGAAGAGCAATTGGTGCTGTAAACCACTGAGCCATCTCTCCAGCACCACCACCCCTAGTTTTTGTTTTGTTTTTGTTGCTGTTTTGTTTTAAGATAGGGTTTCTCTGTGTAACCCTGGCTGTCCTTGAATTCATTCTGTAGATCAGGCTGGCCTCAGACTTGGAGATCTGCCTGTCTCTGCCTCTCAAGTGCTGGGATCAAACGTGTGTGTCACTACTGCCCAACAGAATAAATTAAAAAAATTTAAAACCTTGATTCTACAACTCAAACACAACAGATGCCACTGGTGATCTTGACAGTGGCTCCAGGAGTTGGGGACCCATGCTGAATTGGGTCTGCTGCCCCAACCATATTGCTTGCTGTAAAGGGGGAGTAGAGACCCATATAAGTAAAGTATCTTGTCTGAGAAGGCTGGATAGCAAGCAGCAGGGCAGGACTGTCGCTTTCCTATGTCTGTGGCTTGCCCACCCTTCCCAAAGGCTGCTTGTCCTACAGGCTATGTGAAGGCCAATGGCACATGGAACATGGAAGTGTGTGGCTAACGGCACCTTACAGAGTACATTACATAAAGAGAAAGGCAAGTGTGTGAGTCATACAGAGGCCCCTCAACTAGAGAGTATGGCTTTGATTTCTGAAGACTCACAGGGTCTCCTCAGCTTAGGACACACCACCTCATTTAACAGAGGACACTCTGTCTGTTGCATCCCTGTAGGCATTAATGTCCCAGGGTGGGAGGTGGGAGGTGGGAGGCATCCTGGGGAATCTGTCTCTTACACACACCTTCAAATTTTCTAGGCCTTAAGCAGGAAATCACATGAACTAGGCTATAGGCCAGGTTCTAACCTGGTTTATTTCAAAAGGGCAGAGGTCATAACAGAGAAGAAAACACAGCATGTGTGTGTGGACACATCCACACTCCACTGGACACTGTGTGGCATTAGGGGACACATCCCCAGACCTTCCCAGGGAATGTTTCTTTTGTATCTCAAGTGTGCAGCTGTGGGCTTCTGGCTGCACTGTCTTCTGGCCCAGCCTCCCTCAGGCCACTCTAGGTGATGGAGTATACCTTGTTTGCATCATAATAGGCATGGGTCACATAAGCAAAGTCTTTCATGGGCCACCAGTCCTTAGGGTGGTAGATGGCAGGGTAAACAGGGGGCTTGTATTGTACACAGCTGAAGATTGCCAGGCTGTTGTCCTTGGCTACAGTGGGCAGGTAGAGCCGCAGCTTGTCCAGAAGGTGACCAGGCCAGAAGTGATTGGGGTGGGTGCATGAGGGACCACTTAGCCTCTTCAACTTCAGCTTCCTGGAAAAGAAAAGGACATAGGGAAGGTTGCTGTGGCAGAGAGACCAGAGCTTCTTCTCAGCAGAGAACTTAAGCCATCACCACGCTGTACAGTGTGAAAAGCACTAAACACTTCCAGTCTCCTCACTGGTGAGGACCTGGAGATCTAGAGATCACAATCATACAGTGACTGAGTGGCTAAGCACCTAGGCGCTGCTTCTTAAACTCAAACTTAGACGTGCGCTAGCTCTGGAGGAGTGGCTCTCAGCCTTCCTCATGCTGTGACCCTTTGACTCTGTAATACAGTTGATGTCATGGTGACCTGACAACCATAAAACTGTTTTTGTTCCTACTTCATAACTATAATTTTGCTACTGTTATGAATTGTGTATAAATATCTATTTTCCAATGATCTTAGGTGACCCCTGTGAAAAGGATGTTCAACTCCCAAAGGGATCACGCCCCACAGGTTGAAAACCACTGCTCTAGAGGACTTGCTTCTCCCCCACCCCCATTTCACCTGGTCCTTTTGGTGCTGGGAACAGAATCCAGAGCCTCACATGCTCGAGGCTAATACCCAGCTGCTAAGCTACAGCCCAGCCCCACCTGGAAGCATTTGGATATTGGGTCTGGAATCTAGCTTCTGGGACCAGCCTCACTTGGTTCTGTTTCAGGTGTGGGACTGTGTGTCAATGTCCTGTCCTATAAGCCATAAGTCTAGATTAACTCAGGCTTGTTGGTAACAGTGTAGATGAGTTCACTCATGGGAGGCTCCACAGCAGCCATGCCTGGCACTCTCTCAACACTCTTCTGCTGCCCCTTAGCCCCTGGGCATGGAGCCCCACAACAATGCCAGGATTTTGTTCAATATGCATAGGTCCCAGAGCTGCCTCTGAGTAGAGGAGAGGCCAACCCTCCCACCCTCATACCCTGCCCTCCTAACAGACACGCAGGACGGCTACAAACCCAGTAAATTTCTCGAAATCGTGAAAGTGCATTGTCTTCATTTTCTTTGATGTTTTCCTACCAGGGAACAGAGAGAGGCATTGTTAGGAATGAGAAACCCCAGGAGCTGGGCAGTGCTGGAATGCGCCTCTAATCCCAGCACTCGGGATGCAGAGGCAGGTGGATCTCTTGTGAGTTCGAGGCCAGTCTGGTCTACAGAGTAAGTTCCAGGGCAGCCAGGACTACACAGAGAAACCCTGTCTCAAAACAAAACAAAACAAAAAACCAACAACAACCAAACAAACAAAAAAACAAACATCAGGAAAAGTGGGCTTTGAGGAGGTAGAGGCCATTAAGAAATACATTTCTGAGTCTCAGAGCAGAGCTCTGAGTGTTTTTGTGTAGGCCCTATCTGTGTCTCCATACAGCAAGACACATCCCAGGCTGGTAGGGTGAGGGAAACCCTGACCTTGGTTCCCTTCGTTCATGGGATGGAGGCCTCCAAAATAGTTAGATGTGTTCAGCAACTAACTGAGCCTGACTCCCACTTCCCTTGCCAGAGGCCAAGCTCTGTGGGACAAGCACGGTAGAGACTTACCCTCCATACCTACGCCAGCCCGGCAGGCATCCCTAACTGATCACTGGATTCCTTCCCAAGCCCACATCTGGCCTCAGAATCTGGGTTTTTCCTTCTGATACGAAGGATTGAATTGTGAGCCTTGACCACTCTCTAACCCTAGCACCTGGCGTCAGGATCTTCTACAGTTTAGTCCCTGGTGGTGAGAGTCAATGTCCTTCCTTTAGCTAAGGGACCTCTTTCTCTTTTACAGATGTGACTGGTCAAACACAAGGAAAAATCTCTTTCCTGGGCACCTGGCATGCACAGGGTCCAGTCCTCCTCTCTCTGGGCAGTTTTCCAGCAGTGAACCCCAGAGCTGCAGTAGTGAGCTGATTCACCAGTGTGCTCCTCCTCCTATGTGTACCCCACAGGCTTCTGTGTTTGACAACTTGGTCCTCAAAGCCACTTCCTAGGTTCGTGGTACCAGCCAGCCACAGATTAGAAGGCATATTTCAGAAGCTCTCTAAGCTACTACTTGGTCGGGTCATACTCAGTCAGCACTTTGCAAGCCACGACTGCTGTGGGCCCAGACTGCCTCTGTACTCAAAAACACCAGGACAAGTACAATGAAAAGCAACAGGCACACTGGCGGTGCTGAGGACAACCTGTGGCCCTTGTCAACCGTCTCTGTGTGTATTAGGAGTGCTGCGTCCACTTTTTACATGAAAATGCTGAGCTTCAGAATGCAATAACTTGCCTCTTGAGCAGACGACATCTGCTGCACTGTACTGTAGCCTGCCCCAGGCATTCTGCCGCACCACCCCAACCCTCTGCAGGGATGCATCCCATTCTCCCCTCAGCAGTCACTACTGATGCTACTCAGTAGTTGCCTCCTGATTGGCCCACATTCAGTGGGAATGGAGGGGGAAATTGACTCTGGGTCACTTCACGGGAGGTAGGTATAATGGTTAGGGTGGCATTTTGTTTTTCCCAGGGGCTACTAGCCAGCCTCTTGTTGAAGAATGAGTGTGCCTGCCATCGGGTGGCAGCACAGGGAAGGAATTAGCCACTGTCCTTTGCAGAGTTCTCAGCTTCTGATACAGGGTAAGATAACACCCCCTTTGGCTCTTTGCCACTGGCCTTTTGATTATGGAAGCCTGTGATCAAGAGGGGAGATCTGTGAACCTAAGGTATGCACTAAGGGGGACATTTTGGACTGGCCAGCCAGAAGTGACTAGGTAGGGACACAGATGCTGGCGTGCATGCCAATGTCCCCAGCAGCTGAAGGGGCAGCTTGAAACTCAGCTTGTCTCTCTTCTTCTCTCCGAACTTCTGGCGGTCCTTGAACCCAGCCAGGATGTGGACAATCCTCTCGTCTATATAGTAGCCTCCAGGCTGCCGGATTGGACGGACTTCTTCTTTCAGACAGATTATCTTGTCTCCTGGATACAGCAGTGCTGTGGTCAGAAAGGAAGACAGCAGAGTCCATTAGCCTACATTAGCCTACTTTAGGCTCACGTGGAAACTATTAAAACATTCACACTTCTGTTTAAAAAATTATTTTTTTCTGAGCTATCAAGATGGCTTGGCAGGTAGACTGGCAAAGTGCATATGTGGGGCAAGCATATAACTGTGGAGTCTGTTCTCTCTACATCTATGTGGGGCGAGCATATAACTGTGGAGTCTGTTCTCTCTACATCTATGTGGATTCTGGGTATTGAATTTAGGCTGTCCGGCTTGGCAGCAAGTGCCTTTATCCACTGAACTATCTTACTCCAAACTCTGTAAATCATATTGGTTGGTTGGTTTATTCTCTCTCCCCCTTCCCTTCCCCCTCTCCCCCTCCCCCTCTCCCTCTTCCCCCTCTTCCTCTCCCCCTCTCTCTTCCTTTCCCCCTCTCTCTCCCTCTTCCCTCTCCCTCTTCCCTCTCCCTCTCTCCCTCTCTCTCCCTCTCTCCCTCTCTCTCCCTCTCTCCCTCTCTCTCTCTCCCTCTCTCTCCCTCTCTCCCCCTCTCTCCCCCTCTC